TTCCGATCTCCCCAAAACCCCAAAACCCCATGATATAAATACTTGTTTAACTTTAGATAATAGAACTTTATTGTTAAAAGAATTAAAAGAGTTAGGAATTATTAAATCAAGCTAAATGTATCTTTAACATAGTCAGTGATTATCAATTATTACTTGAACCCTAGGCCTTTAATTCTTTTGTACCATTATGCAAGGCCTGCTCTAATTCTTAATATGCTATCTTTTAAACTGTTTAAGAGTTTTAGAGCTTCTTGATTAATTCTATTTCTAAAAGCTCCATCTGTATGACTTCTTTCTCCTTTTTTTTAATATAATCATTTTCTTATTCAATTCTTTTCTATATTTCCTTTTAAGCTTCCTTTGCTTTATATTCCTTAATCATTAGTAATTTTTATTGTGCTTATATTTCTTGAGACTTAATCATTTTAAATCTGTCTTTACCTTATGCTTCTAGCTCATGAATTATAAAATTCTTCCTTTATCTGTTCTATGCCTCTAATCTCTTTAACTATTGCACCTCCTCTTTCTTGCTAAGATATAAAGCCTCTCTTATCTTTTATTTTTCATGCTCAGAGTCCTCTTTCCTTTGTCTGATTATATTTCGAGTATTTTTTCTCTGTATCTATTCTCATTTCTTTTTTTCAAGGCCATAACTTCCAAAGCGCGCTTTTTAGTTTCCTCTATTTTCTTCCATGTCTTCATCTCTTCTTACTTTAAGAGGGCTATTCTATTTGCCAGAAGTTGTGCATCTCTCTCTACACTAATCATAACAAGTTATCAAAATGTTTAAGGCGATTTATTTTCATGAAATATCAAGTCAGTTAACTACTTACTCTTTTCTTTGCTTTTTAGCAGCCATTATTGTGAGACCATTGCTGACAAAACCTCGTAAAGAATTTTCACGACTTCTGATATTTTTTGTGTCGGACTTGAATGAATTAGATTTTTCATCTGTGCTATAATCAGCTTTTGAAGAGTTCACCTCATTTTGTTTAGGATTGAGAACTGATCTAGTTTTATCTTATAGTTAGGGTGTAAATGGATCGACTATTGAGGATTTATTAAGAGAATTCTGATTCACTTAATCGCTCATGCTTGATACGTTGTCGTAAATATTCAATGGAATGTTCTATCTATTTTAGTTTTATTAATTTCAATTCTTTTTAATTATTTTCTACATTCTCAAGGGGTTTTGGGGTTTTGG